TGTATATCACAGGTCCTTGCACAGGCACATGAAGCATGGATCAACCCCCCCCCCCCCCCCCCCCCCCCAAAAAAAAAAAAAATAAATAACTAATAAAATATAAGGAGTCTTTATTTTCTAGAAAATATGTGATTCCTCCATCAATTCTATCTGTATGTCATTCTGTGCAATTTTTTGGTTTAAAAATTGCCATATACGGTATAATAAAAATTAATACACCAATTGCACAGAATGACACGTATACAGAGAGAATTGGCGGAGAAATCACATATTTTCGCGAAAATAAAGACTCCTTATATTTTTAATTAGTTGGGGGTGGAGTGAGGGGTTGATCCACGCTTCAGGTGCCTGTGGTTCTTGTGGACAGCTGGGACCGTGCTTCTATGGTGCAACACAACCACTCCGTAATGATTTTTGAAAATTATTTAAGGAATAACTGTCTAATTTTTTGGATTCATGATGTGATCAATCGAGTGGCTTGCGTGATAATTTGCATAAACGCCGAAGGCGTTTATGCATAAAATTATCACGCAAGCCAATCGATTGATCATCGTCATGAATCCAAAAAATCTGACAGTTATTCCTTATATTTACATGCTCCTGATTCTGCAAATTACCGTGCTAATAGCCCCGCTTCTGTCTCTATTTGTCCCGCCCCGCACGTGATTTTTTCATTACCGCGCCTATCGATGAACCAGTAGATTTATGTAGAAATAAAGTATTTTTACAATTTGTAATTTTATCTCGGACAAAGACATTGAAAATGTAAATATTTTAATATAAATATACATGTAATTTCGTAGAAGCACGGTCCACAAGGACCTATATGATGTATATTACATTTTCTTAAATTATGACTACATGAAGTTAATATGGTCAAAATATGACTATTATCATACCTGAAAAATATAGTTACACTACATTATCAATAGTTTTACTTTGTTTATATTTTGTTCTGATGAAATATTACATGAAGTAATCAATAATACACCTAAACTGTGTATGATACTTTTCACATACATTGTAAAGTGATACGCCTACAGGTCGCAAAACGGGACGGAAATTCAATTTTTTTTTCAGATGAATAGAAAATGATTCTCTATTTAAAAAAAAAAAAAAGAGAACAGCGTATATGCCATACACATGTTATCGTATATTTAAAGGCAGATTCCTATGTACTAACTCAGCGAAAAGGGGAGGGGGGTACACGTATATATACCATAATTCACACAAATGAAATTTTGGCATATTAAATCCCAATTGATCTTTACTCAAATATTTTCAATTTATAGTTTGCATGTTGTGTACTTTTTCTTCTTAATTTAAATGCACACTTTATATATATGTAAATAATTAATTGTAAAATAAATAAATATGTAATAAATTAATCAGTCTGATTTTTTTAAAAAAAAGAATCCCATGGTTGGTCCTTGCATCAAAGAAATATATACATCAATGTTTTGTAGATGAATATGGAATTTATTTCACGAGTGGGACAGGATTTTTTGATATTTTCACGAGTGCGAAGCACGAGTGAAAATATCAAAAAATCCTGTCTCACGAGTGAAATAAATTCCATATTCATCTACAAAACATTGAATTTTCTGTTTATTACATTTTCTTTGATTTTCCCTTTGCCTCTGTCTTTTCTTAACACAGTGTCATAGGCTTGACGTCATAGTTAAGCGGTTGAGACGTCATAGTTTAGCAGTTGTGTGATTGAAAACATTACATAGCATGGATGTTCATCTTCGCTAGCCAAGGGTTTCCGATCCGAATAGATTTCGGATCGGAAACCCTTGGCTAGCGAAGATGATGGATGTTTAGCAACATATTTATGAAGAAATTTGCAGTTTTAGCTCTATCAAGATACTTAGGTACTATCTCTATCTTATGACAGGCCAGAAATTATTTTTTACTTACTTTGATATCCTTTCACACTGTGAGAGAATATCATTTTGGTATCCTTTCACACTGTGAGAGAGTATCACTTTTATTCAATAAATAAATCACAGTATTTCACTGTTGAAAATGTAATAAAATACTGTACTAGTATATGTATGATTGCATTGTGCTCAAGATATTGTCGACACAAGTTTTCTTTCACCACGTGTGCATGCCTGTTGACCTATTTAGATACCTGCACACATGTACTGTTTACTTTTAACATGTATGTCGTGGTCGCGTCTGGTGTCGTGGCCCGATATGACCCAAATGATAGCACATATCTATAGATATAATTATAAACTATCTGCACTTGAGAACAATTTTATCTAGAAACTATGACATCCAATGATTAAAGAAAAAATTGAGAACATTTAAAACCGAATTTTAATTATTATGGAATGTATACCTTATAGACTCGAGAATTAAGGGCACTGGAACACTTATGCTCTAAAAATGCCCCATGCATTGTTATTCTTAACATTTTTATGAAACCGGGGTGGAAGTGAAACAACAAAAATCCATTCCTGGTTAAGTGGGTTTTATTGTAGTTTTGGTGTGATTTTCTATATGACATTCATTCATTTATGACCCTGCAATGCGTTTAAAAGTTATAAATACAAGAACAATAACTCTGCATGCAGATTTTTAACAAGCAAAGAAGTCATGAAATCAAATAAAACCAAAATTTACCAAAATAACTATATCCTTTCATACAACAATATTTCCCATAAACTTATTATACATAAGCTTATGATATTCACAGTTTCTGATGAACACAAACTAAATAATTCACAATAACCGGTCACTCATGCAAATCTTTCAAGTTACATGAATTGGACAAATAAGAAAAATTGAGTTTAAATAATTCAAAAATAATTTTGCGTGACATCAATATTGAAAAGTAACGGGTAATTTATTTTTTCTACCAACACACAATTAACCTTTACCTCCCATGAGGTGCAAAGGTCTGGTATGAAAATAACCTGCATAGATGTCTGAGTAATACATGGTGTTCTAAATGTAAAATAAATGATATGTTGTTCAAAGTAAGGAATTATTTATTAAAATGAATATTTTAGAAATTGGTATACTTCAAAACTTTATAACTTCAATGCACTCATTTTCTCCTTTCTAATTTCATTATATTATTTAGGAATAAAATAAACTCTATATTTAATACTATTATATTTACATAAATTATTTACAGCTTTCATACAAATCTCACAGAAGACATTCACTCCCTCATACTGCCTAACATTCAAACATTCACTCAAAGTAGGTAAAGTAGGGAAAATATAGAAATAGTGAAAAACTAATTAAACACTAACCTGATTGTAGAAAATCACTTAATCCAAAAATATTTTCAATTTAAGAAAATTAAAATCAGCTCAAAGAAAACTTCAAAGCTCTAATAACACCCTCACACCCATCTGTACGCTTGGGCATGAAAACCAGTAATACTGAACAATAAAAAATTCCCTCCTAAAAATCATGTGACCAGTCCAGAATGACCACTTACTGAAAAGATCTATAAATAGTAATACAGCTAAGGTAAATCCTAAAGAAGGATAACTAGTACTTTACCTGTCTGACTTAATAAATAATAGAATAACAAAACACATGTTTTGCCACCATTTTATTTTAGACCCCTTTCACCCTTATCAATAGACGAATTCTAAATGGGGCTAAATCAACAAAGACAGATATATTTTTTTAGACGAAATCTTTCCTGAAAACGAGTCAAAAGTGACGTTTTCCTATAGAATTCAATAGAATAGCGTCGAAAATGTTACGACAACGATGGCATGTTTGGGATTTAATAACGCAAAAACGATGCAGACGAATTTTATAAAATTTTCAGAGAATGTACAACGAAAATAGGAGATTCAAATAACTAATTTTCATAACAACATATTTAAAGGTCAACAACCCCGCGACCTACGTTAATACACCTACACTGTGTATGATATTTTTCACAATTACAATTGTAAAGTGATAGGCCTTCAATGACGTCGCAAAACGGGACGGAAATTCAAATTTTTATCAGATGAATAGAGAATGATTCTCTATTTTATAAAAATGACAACAGCGTATTTGCCATACACATGTTATCGTATATTTAAGGGCAGATTCCTATTTACATGTACTAACTCGGCAATAATTTGGGGGGGGGGGGGGGTACCGTAAATTAAATTCGCTTTGCACACAAATATAATTTTTGCTAATTAAATTCCAATTGATCTTTATTTAAATATTTTCTATTTCGTTAAATAGTTTGCATGTTGTATACTTATACTTCTTAATTGAAATGCACACTATATGTATGTAAATAATAAATCACTCTGATTTTTTGAAAAAAAATTTCGTATTTGGTCCGGGCATCAGAGAAATATATAATACTAGTATACATGGTATATGTATGATTGCATTGTGTTCAAGATATTGTCAACACAAGTTTTCTTTCACCACGTGTGCATGCCTGTTAACGTTGACCTGTTTTCTTTAGATACCTGCATACATGTACTGTTTACTTTTAACATGTATGTCGCGGTCGCGTCTGGTGTCATGACCCGATATGACCCAAATGATGGCACATATCTGTAGATCTATATAATTATAAACTATCTGCACTTGAGAACAAATTTATCTAGAAACTATGACATCCAATAATTGAAGAAAATATTGAGAACATTTAAAACCGAACTTTATTGTAGAGTTAATTCTTATATGGAATGTATACCTTATAGACTCGAGAAGGGCGTTGGAACATTTCTGCTCTAAAAATGCCACATTCTTATTCTTAACATTTTTACACTGAAACATAACAAAGCGTTTTATTCAATGAAAATTATTGAATGTTTTTTTTACAGGGAAATTTTTGCCACCGTTTTATTTTAGACCCCTTTAACCCTTATCAATAGACGAATTCTAAATGCGGCTAAATCAACAAAGACAGATATATATCTGTATCTGATAAAATTTAAAGTCGTTTAGGGCAAAAAATAAGTTAGATAACACTGTATTTAAAAATAAACTTCTCTCTTTGTAGAAAACTTTAAAAAATGCTGAATCTGGAAAATGTAGCGGCATTCTTTCTGTTCTTCTTGGAGTGCTACCATATCTGTGGTCATCTAAACATCCTGTTCCGGATCCGACTACTTCCCCGGAAGGATCTGGTCCGGATCCGCCTCTACTTCCTGTTTGACTTGTTGACGGTGTTTTCCTCTTCCTTTCTGTTCTTACAGAGGCTTCAGTGGTTGGCGCTGTTACAAATAGTGCAACATCTGTATTACGTCCTTTACTGGGAGAAGACAGGCCCCGCCAAAAAAGTAGGACCCTTAGTTATGCTAAAGTGGAAAATTTAACAGTGTTTAACCCTTAAGATTTTCTAATAAAATTAATGTCATGTTGAACAAGCATTCTGAGAGTATTGCATTAGCAGTATTGCATTAGCAATACTAGTCCCCTAGTGTAATCTGGTTCCCGTTAAAAATTGAAAATGCCATAATTCCGTCAAAAGTCAATGACTCCGAACGAAATGCAAACTTGATCTATAACTCATCAAGGTAAAGTCACATACCAAAAATCAGCTCAATATCTGCAAGCGTTTAGAAAAAAATTGCGGAAAACCCTGAAAAATTGAAAAGGTCGTAATTCCGTCAAAAATTATTGCAAGAGGAACGAAATGCAAACTTGATCTGTAACTCATCAAGATACACTCACATACCAAAAATCAGCTCAATATCTGCAAGCGTTTAGAAAAAAAGTGCGGATAACCAAGTGGGACAGACGGACGGACAGACAGACAGACAGACAGACGGACGGACAGACTCAGAGGAAACCTATAGTCCTCTACGGTTTCACCGGTAGGGGACTAACAAGCATTCCGAGAATATTGCATTGGCAATACTAGTCCCCTACCGGCAAGTGTAATCTGGTTCCCGTTAAAATTGAAAATGCCATAATTCCGTCAAAAATCAATGAAGCGAAACGAAATGCGAACTTGATCTATAACAAATCAAGGTTAGGTTACATACCAAAAATCTGCTCAATATATGCAAGCATTTAGAAGATAATTGTGGAAAATCCTTAAAAATTGAAAAGGCCGTAATTCCGTCAAAAATCAATAAAGCGAAACGAAATGCAAACTTGATCTGTAACTCATCAAGATACACTCACATACCAAAAATCAGCTTAATATCTGCAAGCGTTTAGGGAAAAAATGCGGAAAACCAAGTGGGTCAGACTGACAGATAGACAGAGGGACAGACAGACAGACGGACGGACAGACTCAGAGGAAACCTATAGTTCCCTCCGGTTTCACCGGTAGGGGACTAATAAATCCACAAACTTGACAGACACTCGGTAATATATAAGCATGATCACTTTGATCGTCCATTGTGACCCCACCCTACCCCTGGGGGCCCTGATTTGATCAAACTTGATAAGGGCATTTTGTATTTCAGGCCTTTATTGACCCTTTTTGGTACAGGGTCCTGTACCCTTTTAGTTGTGAATTATAGTTAAAAAAATGTCAAAGTTTAGATATACAGATGACTTGCATTATCTTTAACTGTTGACTGAAAAGTTAGATTTCAGACTTTTTCCCTATTTTCATCTTTTAGAGTCAATATTATGTCAAAATTCAAGTTATTTTTGTATCAAAGCACTGAAAAATTACTTATCATTTAGGAATTTTTACCAAAATTTTGGAGGGAAAAAAACGAAAAACGTCAATTTTCAATTGGGAAAGGGTCCGTTTAACCGGACCTGAATGCAATGGAAAGATTGGGGGAAAAGAACGAGGAACTGTGCTTATTTATCCTAACAACATCAGGGGTCCTGCGTGAACACGTCGCCGTCCCATGGGTTAATGATTCAGGGCCCCTGACGTTGTGAGGATGGGGCCTAATGTACTTTGTAACGAAAGCAAATTGGTTATTTGCGGTTATTACACATAAGTGTAGTTTAAATAAAATATAAAATAAATCCGATGTTACAACAAAACACAAAGAGTTACTGAGCCAATCTTTAAATCAGTCAGTCATTGATTTTTTTTTTCAGATTGTTAGCTGGAGTTCCCTGGACTGGACAGCTAGTCAGTTTAAGGAGGAGTGGCATTTTGACTCCATCCTGGGGACTGCTTTTGACGTCGGTGTTCATTGCACCATGGCTTTCTTTCTCGGCCAATACCTGTCCACGGTACAAATCTTCGTCTGTCTGTTTTTGGTACAGTGTTCCCTATTGGCTGTTTTATGTGGACCCTGGTTTGCCTGGAGCTGCCCATGGGCGGCCCCGAAATGGGTCCAAAAAAGGATCCGCCCCCTCAGCGAGGAGGAATGTCGCTTAGGTCTCGGAAAACAATCTTAACGATCCTCCATGTTATATAGTTCTGGTTTGATTATGTCCTCATAGCATAATGTTGTTAGTCATTTTCAGTATTGTGAACCTGACATTGCTTATCTATGATTTTTAAATAAGAAATAGAATTTCTTTTAAAAAGAATATGTCATGTTCATTACTTATTATATTATCGAAAATTTCGGTTAATTTTGTAAAAACAGAGAGAAATAGGCCTTCTTTTTTTTTTAATTCTGTGATTGGTGTCCATGGACATATACATGTATTAAAAACATCAGGTCCACCACAACGACGGAAATTTTTATTTTGACTCTCATGTCCGTATTTTGTCGACACAATCAGACGTGAACACAAATTACATGATAATTGATATACATGTAAGTAATTAATATAAGTAAATGTACTTTTAATGAAAACTAGAGTCAAATGCATAGATAAGAAAACGCGAAGAAAGAAATCTTATTTTTTTTAAAACAAGAGAGCAGTATTTACATGTATTGTGATTAATGTAAATCAGTATTTGATTGTAGATTTACTTTTATTCTATGTTGTTGTACTTGTCTTTAGTCATATTTTACATTTGCTAAACAAGGAATGCATTTTTTCAAAGCCTTTTCGTCATTTTGTATTTTAATATATGCTAATATTAGATTATTAGCAGGACTTCATTCGTGTCCATATTTATAAACATTACTTTATGTTCCTAGAGTATTATATAATTCATGACCTGGAGAAATATAATCACATGACTGTGGTGAATGGGGGTTTTAATCTTTCAGATTCCAAATATTTTTGAATAAACTTTTTTTTGTTGGTATGTATAACACATGTGCTAGTCACCTGTATTGTATACATGTAGTTTTCTTCCTACTTTTTTTTCTTCACATTTATCAATCAGTATGTTTCTGTATAATATTGAAGTTCTAAATGAGAGCTTGATTCTTTTTTGGTGAGAATCCATTAACTGAATCTAGAAACGGGAAGAAACTAGAGAAATGGGTGTAAGATAGATGTATGTGTTAAAGAGCACTTGAAAATGACTTCATATTTCATATCTTCCTTCCTCATACGTCATAATTACAGTTACGACCCACTCATTTGATACTAAGTGCTGTTAATTTTTTTTTTTTTTTTTTTCATTTTGTTTCTTTTTTTATGTGGTTATTTGTGTTTGTGTGCTTTGCTTTTTTTCCTACATGTATTTTAAAGTATTTGTTGCCGTTTGCTGTTTGAATGAGCATAATTTTACGCATTTTATCACTTGTGCTATACATTAGATTATTGGTCAATCTTGGTCAATCTTTCATGTCAAGTGCTGTACGTCCTAGAATTTATATGTTAAAGTTTTTCGTCGTTTGAACTGATGAATATTTCTAATGAGAAATAAGTTATAATTAAGTATTAAAGTCATATATGGCGTATTTTTGATAAGTTCAGACTAACTAAAATTAAAAAGATCTTTCTATTTGTTTTATTACTTTATATAAAGATAGGACTTTCTTGTGAATTACACCTGGTAATTCCTATTTACGAAGCACATTTTCACAGACCAAGTGTTCAGATTTATGAAAATTTTATCTTAAGTGACGGAGCTGCAATGCTTTTTCTATATACCGGTGTGTTTAAATTATGTAATTGTGGAATACAGATCTAAACGTCTCTGTGTGGTTATAACGCCCAAAAGTGATTTAAGTGTATAGACAAAAAGTTGTTTGATTTTGATTTTAACTTTATTTTCTTTTATTTCATGCAGTTTAAACACTTTTAAGTCTACTACTCTTTTTTATATTATCTTCCTGCTTTCACTTTCTTTTTATGCATATGGAATATTTATCTTAAAGATATTAAAAAGAATAGAATATATGTTCAATTTAATATGTGAATTTATGTGTTATTTCACGGAGAGATTGCTTAAAAAGACTTAAAAAGAAAAAAATATTTTACTTAGAACTACTTTTAGAATTCATCTTTCTGTCATCATGAACAAATGGGATGTCATGGTATCATATATATATTATTGTGCATATTATTGTTTCAAGAACGTACATAATATACAATTGTATATAGTTTTACAAATGTATGATTTTGTGGGAAATTTTTCTTATGTATTCACAATGTTTTGTTGAAATATAATAACACGCCAGGATTAATACATGTAGTTGAGAAAAGAATAATGATAGATGTGATCAAGGATGTATATTATGCATATACGATGCAGTATTTTTTTTTCAAAATCTGAACTATACGTGTACAAATAGACCGTTACAGTAGTTCTTTTGTTGTCGACTGCAACTAAACAATGCAACGTTTGTTCCGTTTGTTTTTCGTTTTGATTACGAGTTTGACTTAATAAACTTTCACTGTTATGAGACTTGTGGTTTTCTTTTGTGTATCAATGTTAAATAAACTTTTAAAAAAATATTATAAAAAGTAAATAAGTACATATAAAAAAAAATAACATACCGATAGTTAAGGATAAATACATGTAACACAAACAAACAAAAAACGATGCATGGGTCGGTATACATTTTTTGACTGATTTTGATTAGAAATGACACAAATAATAAATTCCTAAAATATTCTGAAATCGTTACATATTCTTTGGTGTTTAAATTTAAAATGCCATTTTCGATATAAATTTATACAAATTTTTACGCACACTGTACGACATTATTATAAAATCTTACAAAATTTCTTCACTCTGGTTAACTTTATTCATATTATCTATGCGAAAATAAACCTATAACACCTATTGCTGATTTCTGGTGAAAAAAAGTTTGGTTGGTTATATTTCTCCTTAAATAATTACAAGAATTGATTTAAGGGGGTTTGATCCCGAGATTTTGAGCAGATTTTTGTCTGGACCTATATTTCTAAAATTCTGCATCTTATTTTAGTTAACAAATTTGGATTTTACAACGCCAATTTAACTATATTTAATTAAAACCTCACGATTGAATTCCATATATAAAAACCATTAATCGAGGAACTTTTTTAGGGATTGGAATTTTTTTTAAAAGAGGAAAATGATCATTTTTTTCGGAGTTTATACAGTACCGGTAAGTCCAGATTCCTATTTTTCCATGCAGGCTACACACAGAGTTATTTTGTGCAGTGAGTTATTTATTGCTGGTCCCGACTCATATATATTAAATTGTTTATTTTGAATTCTTTCGCCATATTGTGTCAAAATAGCAAATATATTGTGAAACTTCAGAGTCCCAATTTTAGCTTAAAATTAACATTTTTAAACTAATATCTAAAAATTGACATCATAAACCTCCACTTTTATAATGTTCTTTTCTGAATATATATAATAACGTTGCCCATTCTGCTTAAATTCAGTAAAAGTTTAAGATGTACCTTTCAATACTTTTATTGCTTGTTAAATTTTTTATTGCCAGAAAAATGATATTTTGTGAGTACAGAAAGGTCCAAAAATTGATTATGTGAAGTAATTTGAAACTTTTTCTTTGTCAAAATTTATATATCTATATAAAGCAGAAAGGCCTCAAACTGTCTATTCTGTGAGAGAAAAAACTAATCGAGGGCCGTAGGCCCGAGATTAGTTCTTTCTCTCACAGAATGGACAGTTTGAGGCCTTTCTCCTACTTAAAACATGGTTTCCTTTGTTCTGAAAATTTAATTAAAAATGTACAAAACTGGTATCAGATATGACATGTAGCACACATACAATGACAAGTTCAGTGTTTACAGAATGGACTTTCAAAGGTTAGCTAGGGGTGCACAGCAATTTGTTGAATAGCCATTGTGTTTCCAGATGCAAATAACGAAAGGTGTCTTTGTCTCAAGAATGGACAGTTACAGGTGGATTTTGGGGAATACTAGTATTTATACAAGTTTGCGATGCTTCAAAATCAGTTTTTAGTTTGCTTGTAAAGGCATACATGTTTTCCTCCGCCGGATGGAAACAGTATAATTATGATACAAAATTAATGAACCAAAAGCTGCACAAAATCAGTGATATTTGGATCTGGAAATAGAAAATAGTAAGAGTAAAAGAAAATATTAGCCAAAATTTGACCCAGAAATGAACTTCTTCTCCGACAGATACAAATGATCAAATTCGAATCAAATCTGGAAATGTTTTATATTTGAATTCAATTTTTGAGGATATATTGACTGCAGCAGTGTAATTGTAAGATACAAATTGTGTTCTGAGTGTTGGATTAGGCATGCGCCAAACATAAACCTGAAAATGTTTTTCAAATGAAATCTGGAAATGTTACAATTTTAACTATTTTCTACGGAAATATTAAATGCAGCAGTGTAGTGTTCATGGTGGGGTGAACATTCTGGGTGGTGGATTTAATATTAGGCGTACTTCGATCTTAAAATGAATTATGCTCGAGGGAATGATTCTGAAATTTAAATCAAATGTGAAATTGTGTCATTTAAATTCAAGTTTTGTGAAAATTGAGTTTTGAGTATTGAAATTATGTGCATTATTCATGGATTTAAAAGTGTAAAATCGAGTGGATGCTGTGCAGACATTGCGTTCTGGATTAACTTAGATCTTCGCAAATTATTAACTCTTTACAACTTACTGAACTGTGACGCAACATACACTTAATGTTCACGTCACAGAAATATATGGAACGCCATAGCTGCCTTATGTGGTTATTTCATAGAAAGATGGTGCTTTTTTATGTTATGCTGTGGTTATTTCATGTGAAGATGGTGCTTTTTTATGTTATGCTGTGGTTATTTCATGTGAAGATGGTGCTTTATTATGTTATGCTGTGGTTATTTCATGTGAAGATGGTGCTTTTTTATGTTATGCTGTGGTTATTTCATGTGAAGATGGTGCTTTATTACGTTATGCTGTAAAAAAATATATGTATACGGTAAAAAAATTGTTTTCAATTGTCATTCTATTTCTAATGATTTAATGGATCTTTCCACCACAGTAGTTATTCATATTCTTATTATCTGAATTTTTATTTAAAAAAAATCGTTTGTCTCCATAGACTTCAATGCAATTTCTATTAATTAAATACTGCTTAGTTAATTACGTTTTTGAAACTTTCACTTGGTAAATCCTTTTCTACTGTAAAGTTCTTTGAATTAATATCAGAGTATTATATACGTGATTGATATTTAAGGATAGAGAATTAGTTCCTATTAGGGATGGAAAACCTTAATAAGACAAGTCTACCTGATCATTAAAACTATGAAAGGACTTTTTGTATTATACAATAAAAATTCTTGCATAATTCTCTTATTCTATTAACTTTTCAAGTACATTATTTACAGTGATTAATTATCACAAGTAAATGGCAAAGGGGAATAACTCCTCTCAGTAGAATACAAATTAATAGAGCCCTGGCCTGGACTAGAACACTTGACCAAATGGTCTTGATGTTCAAAAATCTGGTAAAAATACCCTCCTTATTAAAACTTTTACCCTTTTTGCCTCTGATATGCCCAGGTGCAGAGAAGATTTTTAAAGCATTAATGCATTTTCACTATATAATCAAAAGAGCCCCGCCCTAGCACCAGAACCCCTGACCCAGGGGCCATGAATTTCATAATTTTGGTAGAGTCACTCTTGCTTATCATAACTATGTATTCAATTTGTTTCAATAATACCCAGGAGTAGAGAAGAAGATTTTCAAAGAAATAATGCACTTTCACTATATGTTCTATATAGCCCCGCCCTAACACCAGAACCCCATGACCCTGGGGCCATGAATTTCACAATTTTGGTAGAGTCACTCTTGCTTATCATAACTATGTATTTAATTTGTTTCAATAATACCCAGGAGTAGAGAAGAAGATTTTCAAAGAAATAATGCACTTTCACTATATGTTCTATATAGCCCCGCCCTAACACCAGAACCCCCTGACCCTGGGGCCATGAATTTCACAATTTTGGTAGAGTCACCCTTGCTCATCATAACTATGTATTCAATTTGTTTTAATGATACCCAGGAGTAGAGAAGAAGATTTTCAAAGAAATAATGCACTTTCACTATATGATCTATATAGCCCCGCCCTAGCACCAGAACCCCTGACCCTGGGGCCATGAATTTCACAATTTTGGTAGAGTCACCCTTGCTCATCATAACTATGTATTCAATTTGTTTCAATAATACCCAGGAGTAGAGAAGAAGATTTTCAAAGAAATAATGCACTTTCACTATATGATCTATATAGCCCCGCCCTAGCACCAGAACCCCTGACCCTGGGGCCATGAATTTCACAATTTTGGTAGAGGGCTCAATGCTTATTACAATCATGCCAACAGTTTGACTGCTTGATGTCCTGGAGTAAAGAAGAAGATTTTTAAAGAGTCGCGGAGTAAGGAGTTGATCCTTACGTTGCGGGTTCGAATCCCACTGTGGGACGTGGAGACCGGTCCTACGGATGAGACCGTATAAACCGAGGTCCCGTGTCGCAGTAGGTGCCGGCCCGAGAAAGATCCCTCACTGCTCAATGGCTGTAAGTGCCGAGTATAGGTCAGAATTTGTAGCCCTCCACCGGCAAGTGGTGGCGTCTCCATATGAGTGAAAAATTCTCGAGAGGGACGTTAAACAACAAACAATCAATCATTAAAACAATATACTCTCGCTTCGAATTTTCAAATCAAAAAGGCGGTCGCAACTTTCACTTTGGTATCAACAACCTTGTTATTTCCGGTAGAAGATATTTTAAAAGAAGAATCAAACCATCGGCGGAAGAACTTTATCCGAAATAGTTAGGATATAAAAATTCGCGATTTTTTGTATTTTCTTTATATATAAACCTTTATAAATTCGGCCGCCATTATAATTCCAAAATGTCCGATATGCAAATCAGCAGAATGAACACCATTTCTCTATATGCGGACAGTTTTTCAAAAAGAATGGACACTTATAGGGCTGGGACGATACAACTTTTTCTATATCGATACATATCACGATATTTGAGCCACGATACGATACGTATCACGATATGTTGAATTGGTTATAAATTTTTTTTGTATTGAAATGAACAAAACCTTTCTTCAAAAATAAGAATAATTTATTCAAAGAAGTTGTATATATGTTGTAAAACAAAATTATCTTACACAAGTGGTGTTAATTATTATGTATTTCATATTTAGCATATTTATTTTATAAACTAAATCCTAAATGTTAAGTAAACAAAGAAAAACCTAACTCAGAATTTTTTTTGCGATATTTCGATATTTCTTCATACGTATCGATATGCGTATCGTCCTCACACAGTATCGATATTATCGATATCTCGATATATCGTCCCCGCCCTAGACACTTACAGGTGACTTAATGGATTGTATGGTGAGTAAGCTCAACATTAGGCCATAGAATGGACAACACAAACAAAAGGTTTACGTCACAATCATGTTTTAAATTTTAGATAGAATAACCAAAGATTGACTAATTTGGATTAAAAATACTGATTGGAGGAAAAACTTGGAAAAAGTGATCAATTTGTGTGTTACAAGACACAACTGTGGTGCAAAAAAGTCAAACACCGTAGCGCCAAAAGAAGCATATTGACCCCTATTTTTTTGTCTTGGTTTTAAATTAAGCTTTGTGTGTAGTTAATAAAAATATACCCGTTTTACAAAAAATTCTGAAGACTTTTGATAGCAGTATTCACCCCCCTTAAATAACCAAATAAAAAAGTGGACTTAAAAAAATTATTAAAGAGATCGAGTTTTACATTTTCATAAATAATACTGAGGATAAATATTTAAACTTTCTGCTCTGACAATGCAAGTCATTGAACTGAGGTAGTGTACAAGTTATTGAATTACACGAAAAGAATTTGTACTAGTTATTTATTTCATGTCAACATCGCAGAACTTCCGGTAAAACAATATCTTGAAACACACGTGCCGTGGGAATGGGAAAGCAAAATAAAGCACAGAAATCTTTACCAACAAAAGCAAAAATGAAAGGTTTGTAGTATTGTAAGATACTATATAGATTCTCCTACTCGTTTTTACTTTATTTTATCGGCAATAGTGTTTACCAGGTCTGGTACAATCACTAGATTTAGCTACGTAGCTTGAATTACCTACATAGCTTTATTTACCTACCAGAAGTTAAAGTAGAGCTCTTTATTTACCTACTAAATCAAACTTATTTCTCAAATTAGCATTTTCCCCAGAAAGTGCAGAAAATTGTACTTTGATGCAGTGATAATTTTCAACTTTGAACTCGTCTGAAAACAATTCATGAAAAAATCACTCTTGGAAATGTGTCTTTTTCTGCGCAATTGCAATCAAAGTTCTAAAAGTTTTGGGGCTATGTACAACAGTTAATTTGTGACCTAACAGTTACTTCTTGAGTGATATAACAAAGAAAACCAGTTTTGGTTAACACGAGCACGATGTGAAGTAATCATACTTATCCACGCCTCATCGCACATAAGGTGGTGTACAGTTAATCAAACAATGAAAATACATATTTTCCTTAAAAGTGTTGAAATGCAGCAATGTTAAAACTATCTTTGCTTTGGATTGCTTTTAATTAATACCTAGAATAAATATTAGTAGACATTTACTTGGGATTTTTTTGTCTTTTTAAAATAAAAAGCAAAATTGTGAAAAGTTGCCTTGAAATAGCTAAATAAAGCTACATGAGGTAGGTAAATAAAGCTACAGTAGGTAATTTAAGCTACGTAGCTAAATGTACTGATTGTTCTGGACCTGTTTATGTGTCATTTTTCTATTAAACGTACTTAACTAGTAAGAGACTGAGAGAAATTGTTCCACTTTTTTTTAAAATTCTGCTTTACAGATCTAGAAATGTTACTCTAAGTGAATTACAACATGTAAGTGTTGGAATAAAATACATATTTAATCCCATTTTAGGAATAAAGAAAAGAAAGATTGTAGAATTAGAAAAAGAAAAACCATCCAAAGTTACAGATATGGGTGAGATATCAATTAAAATCACTTATCAATCATGTGGGTTTGATTTTCTTTTAACAGTGACTGTTTTTAATTTCCATGAACATGCTTGGTATACACTATAACAATTTCTTTTATATGTGGTGATGTTACAGGCAGTGACGATGAGAGTGTGGTTGATGACAGTGACATTGATTCTGGTGATAGTGATTTACATAGCAATGAAGGCTATGAATCAGATGTTAATGAGGAAGAGAGTGACGAGGACAGTGACGATGATGATGAAGAAGAAGATGATGAAGCAGATGACAATGAAGGAGATGAGGAGGAGGAAGAGGAAAAAGTAGACAATCAAATGGTCAAAAATAAACAGGACAAAAAGAAAAGGAAACTGAATTCACAACAGGCAGATTCTTCTGAATCAACAAGTAAAATCTTCAAGCAACATTTTAAAACACTGATTCTTATACCTGTCAATTTCCATAATAATTATGTTTCTTTTTTCTCTCTCTCTCTCTCTCTCTCTCTCTCTTTGTAGTTATTTCATGCATTAGAAATACTTTTATAGTGAATTTTTTGTAATGTGTCTTTTGCAGAGAAAAAGTTGAAAACAGAAGCTGATTCAAAGGAAGAAGAGAAATGTAAGCTTTCTATATGTATATATAGGATGATTTATCAAAGATACATTGATACTAGAAAAATACACTTCATGGTAAATCATGTATAAATTGCTTGATGGTAGACCTTTACAGTGATTGGAAGGTCATCAAGGTGAATGGGACAATGGCGCAACTGTCAAAGTTTTTAATGGGCCATTTTGAAAATGAATGGGCCATCTACTTATTCTGATGGGCCATATTAAGAAAAAACTAAATGAAAACAAGCGTCAGATTCGAAAAGAAACACGTTTCTTCATTAACGAAATTTTATTTTTCACATATGCAGTGTAGCACATTTAAATGAACCTGCAAACAATATAATTTTCGTGTATTTTGGATCAATAATGTCAAAATTTCAATTAAACATTGGAAATGAGTGAGTTAATGTACCTTTGTTGTCCTATATAAAGCAAACTTCCACCAGAGTTCGTTTGTACCAAACCGGAGACGCAGGTAGTTTGCTATATAAAGTGCTGCATGTAACAGGAAGCAGTTTTGCTGGGTTTTAACCACTGAGATTTGTTGTATTAAAATGGCTACATTTTAAAACGAAAGTATAATAAGCAAGAAAGTCGTATGCAATATATTTCCAACTAACATCGCTAAAATTTGAATGCGCACCTTGGCTCCACCAAAGGTCGATTTGATACGCCAATTTTCACTTCAATGCGACTATGGCGTGTGGCGCAAGCCCTTCCCAATCACTGCCTTTATAAATTGCTTGATACTGATAGAATATTTACAGGTTATACATGTGTTATAAATTTTAAAAAATTCCTAAAACTGTTAACGTTTTCTCGTGAGATATGTAGGATGTGTGTGTTCTTACACATGAATAATAGGAGATTAAAAATACATGAGTAGATTTATTCAATAATGCTTCTAGTGCCAGGGACAACGGTAGGGGGCGGAATCCTGACCGATACCTCTTTCTCCTCACTAGAGGGCGTTGTCTCCGACCTCTCTCTGAAGGGGATCGCTGACATGGGCTTCACCCACATGACAGAGATACAGGCCAGCACTATTCCCCACCTATTGGAGGGCAGGTGTGTATACTTGTTTATCTCTGTAAGTACTAGATGTACATGTAGGTAATACTGACCCAGCTTTTTCACTTGTGAACTTTTGTATCTATCACTGATCTGTTGAAGTACCAGTAAGGTTGAAGTCAATACCACTTTCATTTTATGTATTTTAAACTCAAACTCTCAGATATCTGAAAGTTCTTTTCTGAGTCCCATCAAGTTTGAGATAACGAAGTTTGATTGTTTAAACATTTATCCCATCATGATGTGTTTACCATTGATATTTAACTGGATAAATCTGTATTCTGATGCCTCATAATGATGACATATAAACACACACAGAAGTGTGCCCATATATATAAACATGGTAGACTGAGGAAGAATTTCAAATAATATGTTCGATAAAGTTATTGACAAACAAACAGATTTTATCTTTTTAAAAGTAATTTTGTTTTTATTTTATTAAGGACTATTTTTTAGTGGCGTAATGTTGTTTTATGTTGTTAGGGATTTAATGGGAGCAGCCAAGACAGGAAGTGGTAAGACGTTAGCCTTCCTGCTGCCCGCAGTAGAACTGCTGTACAAACTCAAGTTCATGCCTCGCAATGGTAAGATAAATAGACGTCTAAAATAGAAAACTCAGATCGATCGTTGTCAGCTGTAAGAGATGGTTTTAGAAATGCTTAAAAAATTTCTGTTCTCTCTAGATATTTCTGCATGTTCATTTTTACGTCTCTTGTATACTTTAAATTACCCATGAAATAACATCCCCTCAAACCAGTAAAGTTTTGATTGTCTACAAACATTGACCTGTAGGAATTAAATGATTCCACAGTATTGTCTTGAGAGAATGGAACACTGTCCATAGACATTGACTGTGTATTTACATGTATTCATAGGTACTGGCTGTATTATAATCTCTCCCACTCGGGAGTTGTCCATGCAGACTTTTGGGGTCCTGAAGGAGTTACTGAAATATCACTGTCACACTTATGGTCTGATCATGGGGGGCACGAGTCGTGTGGAGGAAGCCAAGAAACTTGGCAAGGGGATTAACATCCTTGTCGCCACACCTGGTCGATTACTTGACCATTTACAGGTAAGTGCTAAAGTGTTGGTTACAGGGGAGTGCTGAAGCCATGACAACATGTTAGCATGCTGAAAATTTTCCATCATATCTCTGTTTATCACAGAATGGCAATATTGAACACAATAAATTCTTCTTAAATCTTTTCATACTGTAACTGTTACATTTGAGAAACTGTCTGCCATTCTTTACCTTATTCCCAGAGGATGTGCTTGAGAGTTGTAGTGCAAAACAGTCAAAAATGAAAAAAAGGAAATGAAAATTTCTCTGCATGTTTGTAACAGAGACTTTTATGTGCCTCTGCTGGGGATTGAACCTGGGACCTCTGGCTTGCCAGTCTAGTGCTCTACCGATTGAGCTAAAGGGTTAACCCACTAGCCCAAGCTAGTAGGAAGCTGTGTATCTGTCACTACCAAATGTATACAACATTACTGCATCACTTATGTAAGCTTTAACCCCTAGTACATCACTTCTTGAATATGTAGACTTTGCACAATACCTCGGCAGTTAGATGAGACTAGAGTTAACCTATATTATTACTGTACATGTGTTGATGTCAATGATGACAAACACTGCGCAAATCTGATTGATCTCATCATCGTCTCCAGTATCTCACACGAGTCCTGTTGAGATGAGTTGAGATCAATATGATCTCTGTGTTAACTGAGACATTTTCTTGTACTCTAGCTTCTGTATTTGACTTATCACATCTAGTAACTTGCATAAGCCCTGTTGATTTGAGCATAGTCTGTGTTCACAGAGGCATTTTATCTTATTTGTTATAGGTTTAAAGCCACTTTATTCAACACTAATGGATGCAAAAAATTGCTATGAATTCAAACTATATAAGGAAAGTTTTTCCTTTAGTAGGACATAAGTTTTCTTGATTTACAAAATTATTTCCTACAAGAGAAATGATCAAATACAGTCTCAAGTGCAACAAAAACTAGAGTTTTTGAATTTTTGGCTGCATGTACTCATGAGCTTGGGATTGATGAATTCTAAGTTCAGAAACTGTTGTATAAGTACCTATTTTTATTTCAGAATACCCCTAACTTCATGTATAAGAACCTCCAGTGTCTGATTATTGACGAGGCGGACAGGATCCTGGAGATTGGATTCGAGGAGGAAATGAAACAGATCATGAAGCTTCTGCCAAGTAAATACTGTCTACAGGATTAATTTTCGCCTCATGTTATTTTGTCCTTTTACACTTGCAAATTATTTTGCCCCATTTTAAATTCATCCAGGCACAGTAGGGTGAAAGAGATATGCTGTCTTATTTTAATTTGCCTCGTTTTATTTTGACCACTTGAGCCAAGTGCAAAAGCAGGAAAAAAAATGGGTGAAAATTTCCCTGTATACAGTAAGCCTCAATAGATAGTATCGTTTATTATATTTTATTGTTGTCTGAAAATACTTATTGATGGAAGAAGAGCAAAGGCTATGGAAGTTTAAAAGAAAAAAAAGAATGTAAACCTCGTGGATCCTTGTTGAATGGCCTCTTACTGTGTTGGACGTAATCTTTAATCTTTTCCTCCACCACCATTTACATGTACTGCCATTTCATGTTTTTTTTTTTTACTGATTTAATGATATAGATATAACTCCATATTGTATTTACAAAGGTGAGAAAGCCTTACCAATGCTTACAGATTCATCTACAGTATAAATTTTTTACATTGATTATTTTTGTATCACATCAGAGAGGCGTCAGACAATGTTGTTCTCAGCCACACAGACAAGGAAGGTGGAGGACCTGTCGCGGATTTCTCTGAAGAAGGAGCCGCTGTACGTCGGTGTGGATGACAGGAAGGACAGCGCCACTGTGGAGGGTCTGGAGCAGGTAAGCAAGTCACAGGATTAGAATAAAAGTACTGTAAATATTGATACTGGCTGTGCATAATAGGATAGGGGTAAAAATAGGTGATAACAAGGGGGACAGGGTAGTGGTAAAAGTAGATATTGTGTTTGTAATGTGAGTCAGAGATAACTGCTGGTGAAAAAAATAGAATTTCTTTTCTTTCTATTGATGGAGATGAGAAACAAACAAATTGGATTTTTTTCACAATTTTCAGTTAATAGCTAGGTAATTTGTAAGGTATATATTGTGATTCAGTTTTAAAATTATATATTTACATTTTGAAATGTTTTCCTTTATATTACGCTATCTAAGCAAGGGGTATTTATTTCTGTGTAAAGACAGGTTCATTATGTGTCCTCAAATTCATTGTTTAGTCATAAATGATTGACATAATTTTACAGTGATGCCATAAGTGGTAGACTTGTTCAAAACATTCAATTTATACCATTGAGGTTTGAAAAAATTAAAATCATTTTATGGGTGTAGAACTTTTGTACAAAATATATGTTGTAAATCAGTTTCAAATGTAAATATAAGTAATAAGGTATCATTTTTAAACATTTATCGGGATTTAAATGTGGGTTGGCATGTGATCAAATCTACCATAAAGCCCTTTGGGCATTATGGAATTTGATCACATGACCAATTCGTAATTACATCCTGATAAAAGTTTTAAAATGATACCTTATTTCTTAAATGGAAGAAATATATTGATTATTAAGATTTTTCAGAATTTCTTGTAACGACCAAGGGAGAAATCAAGATTTTCATTAAAATGAAAAAAAATGTTTGTTTGTTACCAGGGTTACGTCGTTTGTCCGTCAGACAAGAGATTTTTACTGCTCTTCACCTTCCTGAAGAAAAATCGGAAAAAGAAAGTGATGGTTTTCTTCAGTTCTTGTATGGCTGTCAAATACTACCACGAGCTTCTGAACTACATAGATATACCAGTGATGTGTATACATGTAAGTGTGTGTTGAACTTTACCCTGAGCTAGTAAGCAACATCAATATGTAAATGTGACGGTTAAGAATGAATTGAGATCTATTTTAAATTTACTGGTGTCAAGCTTTTATAGAGGAAAATCCATTAATGGTAATGTTATTGATAAACTAGACAGGCATGGTTGTGACTGGTAGCCAGTTACCTCAATAGATAGAGCACCTGTCTAGAGAACTAACGGGGGTCCAGATTGAACCTCTGGTCTAGCCCTTCACAATTCCTCCAACTGAATCCTGATCCCATACTTTAGATAATCAAGAAGCTTTGAAATTATGCTTTGAAATTATAAAAACTGGGTCAATGCTTACACAGCTAGAGTCATCTACAGCTTATTTATTGTAGGGAAAACAAAAACAGACAAAGCGGACCCAGACCTTCTTCCAGTTCTGTAACTCTAAGGAGTCCATTCTGTTGTGTACAGACGTAGCGGCCCGAGGTCTGGACATCCCTCGAGTTGACTGGATCGTCCAGTTTGACCCACCAGATGACCCAAAGGTTAGTGACTTGTAGAGGTCAGAAAATTAAACAATATTCAGTTTGTTTTCTGCAGTGAAGTAAACAAAACTATAAAAAAGGTTACTGTTAAAGTACAAACTAATAAAGTTCTATATGTGAAGCATTTTCATTTTTTGTTTCAATTTTACTAAAATTATGATGAAAATAATTTGAATTTTTCTAAATGCCTTTTTTTTTAATAAAAAAAAAAGCACTTCAGTATCTTGAACAACCAGGATCTTTTATTGTTTTAGTTTCTATTGTGATCTTAATACATGTATATTGTGTGCTCGTTCAATTATTAGTGAATGTGTATTTTCAAGATATGAGCATTTTATATACGAATATGTAATCAAAACTTGTGAACATTTAAACCAAGTATTGACACATTACGTGTAACTGAGTTGGAACAAAATCAACAAATAAATTCAAATTATATTTTAATGTTACTGCAATTTTTTTTTTTACTTTCAAAGCTGATTTTTGTTTTTGTTGTTTATTTATTTATTTATTTTTTTAAATGCAATTAATTGACAGCTGCATCTACCTTATCCTATTCTGTAGTTAGGAAAGTGTAGCTCTGTTATCACCTAATTTCGAGGTTTGACTCGACAGCAAAAACCACCATGATTGATATTTACTAAAAAATGATAAACCACAGTAAGTTTCATAATTTAAAGCCTTTGTTTTTGTAGGAATACATCCATCGTGTTGGTAGAACAGCACGTGGGGAGGGGGGTATTGGTCACGCTCTGTTGATTCTACGTCCTGAGGAGCTGGGATTCCTGCGATATCTGAAACATGCCAAGGTCCCACTGAATGAGTTTGATTTCTCCTGGAGTAAGATTTCCAACATACAGGCACAGGTAAGAGGAAACTTGTATTTGTGTTAAGGAGGATTAATTAACCATGGAATCATTAAAATTTGTGGGGGCCAATTTTTGTAGATTGCTTAAATTTTACTGATTTACGGGTACGTAATTTCATGTTTTCTCTTAAACCTACAAAATGAAATATGATTTTATAACCCTAATTTATGAATTCGAGGAGGATGTTAATTCGTGGATGAGAGTACCCACAAATTCCACAAAAATTGAGCCACCACGAAGTCTAATGGTTCTACAGTAACTGGGGAGGCTGTAATGGAAGGAATGTAATAGATTTACTTGATAAACCTTTGTATAAGAAACTCTTAAATGTGCTATAAAAATCAGCAAAGAAAACCTCTTTGTTTAAAAAAAAGAATGTTGACGAAAATATAAAAGCTCATGGTAATATGGATCTCCTGAAATACTGTTTAACAAACATGAGTTTTTCAACTTCTGAGCTGCATGTATTTACATGTAGATAGACAATACAAATGAGCAGAAGAGATAATTTAATACTGACAGAACTACCTCCTTTCAATCATCTATTGTATTATTTTGAGGACTGATTTTAGTTTTAGCTCACCTCGACGAAGTCGAGATGAGCTTATGTTATACCCCCGGCATAGGCGTCAGCGTCCGCGTCCCGGTTAAAGTTTTAGGAGCAAGTCCATTCTCAAGTTACTATAAGCTCTACCTGGACCAAACTTGCATGGATGATGCATCTAGGGATGGACACTACCACACTTGCTTCGGATGCTGGATCTGACCTAGATTTTCCAGATGAGTGACCAGGTTAAAGTTTTTGGAGCAGGTCCATTCCCAAGGAACTATAAGCCCTACCTGAACTAAACTTGCATGGATGATGCATCTAGGAATGGACACTACCACACTTGCTTCGGATGCTGGATCTGACCTAGATTTTCCAGATGAGTGACCAGGTTAAAGTTTTTGGAGCAGGTCCATTCCCAAGGAACTATAAGCCCTACCTGGACCAAACTTGCATGGATGATGCATCTAGGGATGGACACTACCACACTTGCTTCGGATGCTGGATCTGACCTAGATTTTCCACATCAGTGAATTTTAGCCATATTTTAACTAAATTAACATAGATGATGATGTATCTAGGGATGGACACTTCCAGAATTGCTTTGGATTCTGACTCTGATATTGATGGATATTGATCTTTGGATGTACACTAACTAGGAAAAAAATATCATGTGAGATTTGCCTTACTTATAGATAACATTCGTCGAGGTGAGCTAAGTAATCTTTGATTACCTATGTTTATAATGTTGTCTGTGTAATATTTGTATCTAGTTGGAGAAACTGATAGAGAAGAATTACTTCCTACACAAGTCCGCACAGGAAGCCTATAAATCTTACATCCGAGCATTCGCCTCTCACAGCCTCAAAAATATCTACGACGTCAACAGCTTAGATCTCCAGAAGGTGGCGCTGTCATTCGGATTCCGTAACCCACCCTACGTAGATCTGGGTAAGCTTTAGTACAGGTATAAAGTCTAAGATAGTGTACTATTAAAAGGTCCATCATAGTAACAGAAATTCCATAGTTACATTTTTTTTTGCATTGATAAAGCAATGCAAGAGTTATTTTTATTGGATTACATGTATAATGTTGTATGAAAGTTGTTGTTTAATTCAATTTTAGATTTTTTTTTCAGTAACCATGTTTGGTGTTATTTTGCCATTTTTATGATTTTATTTTTATCAGTCATTTGAAGTTAATTTAATCTTTCTTTCGGTGTAATTTACACCTCTCTTTTGATGATATTTTGATTTCACTTTTGGTATTTTATGACATGTTTTGGATTTTAATTTTTTTCGTTTCCCTTTTGATATTATTTTGATCTCACTTTTGGTACTTTATAACATTTTTTGGATGTAATTTTTTTGTCTCTCTTTTGATGTTATTTTGATCTCACTTTTGGTATTTTATGACATTTTTTGGATTTTTTTTTTCACCTCTCTTTTGATGTTATTTTGATCTCTTTTGATTTTAGATGTACATGGAAAGAAAGGAGGCAAAAACAAAGGTCACAGAGGTAAACCTGGAGGATTTGGTTACCATAGAGACAAGTTTGAACACAAAGCAAAACTGTATAAACCACTGAAAAGTAAAGGACACGGCAAGAGACAATTCAGTCGGTGACCCATGGAGGTTTATCAGACACTGTTGACATGGAAACAAAATTAATTGACCCGAGGTCCTTTATCAGTGACCTTTCAACTTAATGTGATGTGAGGTAGGAGGGGGTGAAGTTATACATGTATTTACTACATTGCTGTCTTATTTCACACCACTGACCAGGAAGTTGATTAGGAAAGCAAATAAATGTTAGCTGACATTTGTAAGAAACTGTGTTCTAATGGTTATAGAAGAAAAGGTTTAAATATGAAATCTTGTTCAATGTAAATTCATTGTACTTGTATATATATTTGATTTTAGAGGATGGATCATAAATGATAATGCAGATTTTTGTCATTTCTGAGTTAGTTAAGATTCTTAGGTACCACTTCATAAGGTCAAGCACCACTATATTGATAAATTTTTATTGATATTAACAAAGGAATAGTAATTTTTTAAAAAAATTTCTTCTAAATTTTATTTCTACAATTATTCCCCTTCTTGCAAAAACATTTGTATAGAACACATAATACTATTTCTTGTTATAACTTTGTTATGAATAAATTTTTGAATGAAAGAGTTGTAAATAATATTTACATTATTTAATGGTTATTGAGTACATGTATCTATGTAAGATTATATAAAAAAAACTTAAAATTCAGTTTATATCATATACATGTAATTAGCCAAATGAAGGAAAGGTAACAGTTTGCTTCAATAAAAGGAAAAAAGAAATGCCAGCAGCATTAATTTGTAATCTGTAATAAGACTAGTATAGTCTCATAGATCATGTTTACAATACAAACCTTCAAAAGAGCAAACTCGGGGGTCCCTTGAAACACTTGAGTTGGGATGAGATGCCTGTCAAACTTGTTGAGAGCTGTCTGTATTAATGCAGTAGTCAAAATAAATAGGTTTAGTGAAATGGTTGTATAAAGCATTAAAAAGCTGTACATTTTGATGATAAACAGTAATCAAAAGTTTAATTAAGCAATGCCAAATGGGAGTGGTGCCAACATGGATCTCTAAAATCATCGTTAGTGGGATCAGGTGCAGTTGAGAAGTAAAGGACCTGTGAACTGGCCACACCAGCCTGTCCAACCATGAGCCCTTTTGTCTTATCAATGAAATTGAGCCATTTACCTAACAATGTATTAAATACATTGATCTTAATGACAAATACGACTTGGTGACAAATTTGACATAAAACAGATTGTAATTGTATTCAAGGCCCTTTGTATTGACAACAGAATGTGCACATAAAATGTTGATTTAAATGGATTGTGGATACCCTTGTATTATCCACTTGTTTGTCATCATTATGTTTATCATACAGTTGTGTTTTTGCAAATAATGTATTTTTTCCTGTAAAATTTCCAAACATGAGACATGTGTCAAACTCTCAGTGGGATATATAAATTCAACGTAAGAATAAAAGTGAAAATTTTGATAAGAAGAAGGTCATCAATCTAAATTCTAAGAGAAAGTCGGTTTTTCTTGTTGAAATGTTTGAATAAATTCTGCTTCATGAGTATTAAAATATGTCTGTTCATAAAGGAGCTAAAATTCAACAGATTGCTAGAGGTCCTTGTTTCTGAACTGCGAAGATGTTGTCAATGAGGAAATCAAACATCTTAATATCAACGTCAGAGTAACTGGGTATAGGATCTGAACGATTTTTTTAAAATCACAGATACCCAATCACAAGATATTGAAATGTACGAGTCACCTGAAGAAACAGTTTTCTGTTATATCGGAAAGCCTGTGCTGAATTTTACTAAAGGTCGTAAATTTTGTCGATGACGTAGGCGTAAATTTAATTCATCATGAAAAATTGCCATATAAAGTGTTGAAAATTCATACATCACTCTACATCAATATATCTGAGAAGTGGTGTAGATCAGATGTGGATAAATAAGAATTCCAAGGAACTTTTAGAAAATTGGAAATCACAAAATTTTACCAAAATCAATAAGGTCAATAATACGACTTCAACACTTTATACAATCATTCACCACGATATAATAAAGCCCGGGCTTTTTGGCACCATAAAAAGCTGCTTTTTCAATAGAAATGGAACTCGTTAATGTAGTTACATTGTCATTAGGCATTTACAAAAGTATTTTGTTAAAGAAACATTCTGATTGTACACACAAGTACTCTGAAGTTAATACTAAAATGATGCTTGAGATTCTGATTGACAATATCTACGTAGGTTTTGGAGATCAAGTCTTCCAACTGCCTGAATCTCCTTGAATACCGATTGCGCCTCGTTATGAGCAAACCAATTTTTATATTCATTTGAAACTAAGAATTTATTCAAAAACTTTTACATGAAAAGAAGTGTCTTGTTGTGGCCTTCAACTCAACATATAGATATATCGACGACGTTTTCTGAATTAACTATTCATTTTCAGTCCTACATTGATTCGACATATACCTTTGAATTTGAAATTTAAAAAAAAAATCACGAAGTCTGACAATCACTTTCGTATTTGGATATTTTAAAAGAAAAAAAGTTTATGGAAACCTATGAACAAAACATTATGATAAACGTGATGCCTTCCACGTTTCTATCGTCAACTTCCAATATATTTAGCAATATACCCTTAGCACGTGCATTTTGAGTTTTTGTCTCCCAGTTGATTAAATTCTCAAGGACACGCTCTATGTACGAACAATTTCTAAAACGAGGCAAACTATTGACAAACAAGTTGATGAAACAGAAATATCAAAAGTGTCGTTTAGAGTCAACATTTTGCAAATTAAATGGTCGGTACAATGACTGTCAGCAAGTACTATCTATCATTAAGACAAATGCTGACTGACGTTTTTCATACGAATTGTTATGCGATTATTTTCTTACTGAATTGTCTGCGGGTGTTTCCGTTTACCCGATCATAACAAGGAACATATGGTGGGTGTGACCGGTTGACAGGGGATGTTTACTCCTCCATAGCACCTGATTCCAGTTCTGATCTTTTTAGAGGTCCAAGCAGATGTTTAATTTATTATATGAATTAATATTCCATTTACAAATCATGCATGCAACATTGTCATACAAATACAATGAACGTAAAAGACAAAGTAAGTATAGAAAATTTGTGTAGATTGTGAAGACACGGTACATTGATTAGGACATCGTAGACAAGATATACAAGAAGTAAGAACAAAATATACAAGAATTAAGAAAATGGCAGTATTCATATTCATGGTCAAAATTTTCCTGTTTAATCATGAACGAATTTTGTAAATTTCACATTTCTTCAATTTGATGTTCTACATTGTTCTAATCTTCAAATTAAAAGTTGGTTTTGAATTGGCAAAAAAAAAAAAAAAAAAAAAAAAAAAAAAAAAAAAAAATAAATAAATAAATAAATAAATAAATATAAAAATAAATAAATAAATAAAATAAATAAATAAATAAAATAAATAAATAAAAATAATTATATAAATAACCAATAATTAACAAGTATCTCACAACTAATAAAATGTACTTGGAAATTTAGTACGAGTTGTACTTAATGCAATTTTGACAGGTTGTCTAACGTCCAGTGAATATAAATGTTTAATTTTCTTTCTTTTGGTAATATTTGTACACAGTAACAGTAGAACTATCCTCACTTCCGACCATTAATGTGTCCTGGTCATCCAAACAGAGAGCACGTGGTTTCTTTGGACATTGATCTGGTGGGAGTAAAAGTGACAGGAACTGACCATCCATATCCAGCAGGTGGACACTAGGGCAATTTCTTCCAAACAAAGGACAGTAGCTGTTGCACACCAAGATATGTCCTAGCTTGTCTGTACAGATTCCATAAGGATGGAATCCGGACTGAGACTGGTGACCAGAATAAATGAAGCGATGCTGTCCACTTCTGGTCACCACCACCACGCTATGGGCAGTATAGTCTGATGTACAGATGTCACCGTTGATGTTCTCTGTGATGTAGGTTATACTCTTATAAAGGTTGTCCCCTTCCTCACCCCTCTGAGTCTCCTGGAGTTTCTTCCCTTTTTTACTGTATCTGGTCACATTTGATTTTTTATTTTTATTCATCCCGACTAGCATATCTCCATTGATGTGGGAGGAATGAATGGCCCCTGGTTCCCAATCATCAGTTGAAATTACTCTTGTGGTGTTAATTTCGCTATTCACTCGGAAGATTGATTTACATTTGGCATTTGTGAAGAGTAAGTGGCCCTCTGTTGTGACTGTATGGTAACCTATGACATCTAATACGTTAGTGGATATTTTCTTCAAAATATTTCCCTCCATGTCAAAGAGGATGAGATTCCCCGAACTGTTACTGCCCCAGAATTTCCCCGATGACGAAAGAGATAAATGATTCGCTGGTGTACAGACGTTAATTTGTCTTAGTTTTTTCAGATCTAATTCAATTGAATGAACAACTTGAATCTCACAAAGCGATTTTGTCATTTTGCTCTCTCCTTCTTTCCCTTTACTCATAGGTGGAAAATTCTCACTTGAATTCATTGCTTCTTTGTTTTGAGAAATAATCAAATCTTTTACTGGCCAATTTATTTCTCCAAACTGTTTTTCTATCTCCCTTTTATCGTCAGTACCTTTAATAAATGTCGGTAATGTTGGATGATCTGTTATAGATTCTTGCATGATTTCCAGTGCTTGTGAAGACAAATTCTGATGGAATGTTAAAAGAGTGGATGGCTTTATTGATGCAGTTTCCATCTTGTTTTTTAGTTCTACAATTAAGGCTTCCATTTTAAACCTGTCTTTTAATATATCTGTTTCTTTTAAATATGATTCTTTTATTGCATAAAGCTCAGCAATCTTATCGGAGAGGACGGTATCCACAACTTCTTTCATCTCCTCAGCTCTTTGCGTCATGGCTGATACCGTCAGATTAAATCTTTCCTCATCTTTTTCTGTTTGTTCTGTCTGGGAATTTGATTTTTCTTCACTGATCTTTGTCAGTCGATCTTTGCATTGCTGTAGTTTTTCATTATAGACAATCTCTAGGTCAGACATCTGGTGATTTCTGTGATTTGAAGTAGAGCATTTGGAACAAAGAAGATCCCTGCAAGAGTCGCAGTAGATTTCAAGGTCTCTTGTTGGATGAAGTGGACATTTTTCTACAGGCAAGGGTATTCTTCTGTTTGTATGAAGAACAACTTCATGGTGTCTGTTTTTCTCTTCTTTGAGATGGACATCTCTGTGCTGCTCACACATGCTCTGTTGGCAGTCATTGCAGGAGAAGCTGGACTTCTCTTCACATATTGTGCACAGTGTGTAATACTCAACAGTCCCAGATTCATTGACACTATTTTCAGCCATATATTTCGAGGCAACTGCATTTGAAAAATAAGTCAATGCATTATAATATTTAATAGTGTAAATAATTAATATAAAATGATTTTAAAACAGTATCATACAAGAGCTTCCATATTTTTTTTTTCAAGCAAGTAACATGATCACTTGATTTTAAGGAAGGGTGTAATACAAATTGTAAGTCAATTTCATTGTTCAGGAAGATCCCCTACAATTGTGAGTATTTTTTTTTCAAACGCTATACATTTCATAGCTAAATATCAAAGAATCAAAATACTGTTGAATCAATTTAATTCCTTGGGGTCAACGTTTGCCGGCAAGCAAAAGTTTACTTGTTCGTCAGGACGTTATTTCGTAGGTAACTCGTTTATACGGTAGATTTCATGACACGATATTATTGCAAAATAGACGTTTGTGGGGATGTCAACTCGTGGGTAAGTGTAACCTACGAAATCCACGAACATTGGTCCCCAAGAACAATGATGATTCCATAGTAATCGATTTAAATTTAAACTGGCAAAATAAACATAAGGGAAATTTAGTTCGTAAAAGTTATTTATATATACACCATTTATTGATAAATGAGTATATGTTAGACTTTTGATAGCAAATTAATAGTTTTAATATATTCATGTAACTTCGATCTGACAAACTTTGTACTTTATGGCAGATGACCAATTTGTAGATAAAGACAATCTTATTTTAAACGAGCAATCACTTTATATTCCTTGTTCAATAATTAACTTATCGAATAAAGCGTTTATAAACAGTGATAAAAATGACGAAGATAATATATTAACTGATGGGTGGATGGTTTGCATGTCACATGTGGAAATTTTTTTTTCCCCATTATATTCTTTATTTTCCCTTTAATATTGTATATTACAAGATTTTTGATGCATAATTTGTACTACTTGTATTGTAGTTTTCATTTGTAGTGTATGTTTTGCATCTTACATTTTTTTCCTATTATAAAATTCAAGAATTCCTAACTCTCTTATAAAATATAGAATAACGCAGGACGCTTACACAACTTTTTAGGAAAGGAGCCAGAATGGGGTCAAGATTGAAAAAAATAGCCACCTTTTAGGAAATTTTGGGATAACCATTATCCTTTAAAATCATGATATATTGGGTTTCTGGTCTTTGTTATCAACTAAATTTTGTTTTGCAATACAAAAGAACATGAAAAACAAATGAAGTTATCATATCTATCCGGATATATTTTCTTTAATTTTTGGGACTATTGGAAAAATTAACACATTCAATTGGGCAGAAAAGAACATTTTTGAATATTGGGAATTGGGCCCATAAACGACCCAAATTATAGACAATCGAAAGTCCTGTAACGAACGGTATATAAGCTCAAACACTCTGCCTTTCAAACAATACAAATCAGAAGCAGGGCAAACACGGACCTCTAAAACATCAGAGGTGTGATCAGGTGCCATGGAATAGTGAGCATCCCCTGTCGACCGGTAACAACCGTCGTGTGCTAATAGCCTTGTTATGATCGGAAAATGGCGAAAAAATCCGTATTCAGTGTGTAAATAATGGCACAATTAGTATTGAATACGTCTATCACCATTTGACTTAATGTTAGATTGTATTTGCTGACACAGTCATTGTTTGGACCATAGAACTTGCGAAATGATGATTTCAAACAAGACAGTTGATATTTTTGTTTCATTAACTTGTTTGTCAATAACTTTCCTCGTTTTAGAAATTGTATGTAGAGCATGTTCTTGCGTATCGAATCAACTCAAAGATATAAACCCTATATGCAGGTGATAATTAAGGGTATTTTGCTACGTAAGTGAGGGAAGTTGACGACTGAAAGTTATCACGTTTATCATAAAGCTTGGTAGTTAGGTTACCATTAACGTCTTATTTCTGGTAAAACATCCAAATATGAAACAAATGTGTCAGACTTTGTGGTATCTTTTAATTCAAGCTAACTGTGATATATCGTGTCTACATATGAATAGGAATAACTTTTGTTAATTGACAATACATCGTCGATTTATCAAAATGTCGAGTTAAAGGCCAAAACAAGTGTTTTCATCTTCTCATGCATAAGATTTTGACTATATTCTGCTTCATATGAATACAAAAATAAGTCTGCTAATTACGGGGCTCAATTGGTACCCATGGGAATTCCCACAGATTGTTGGAAGATCTGGTCTCCAAAAACCACATGATATTGTCAATCAGAAACTCAAGCAATCTTTTAAATATCAACTTAATAGTGCTTGTGTGTACAATCAGAATGTTTTTTTAACAAAGTAATTTTGCAAATGACCAATGGCAAGGTAAGTAAATTTCAATTTTATTAAAAAGCAGCTGTCAATGATATCAAAAAGCCTGGATGAGATCCAACATTACTAAAAAAAGGAACTTTATGTTTACCTGTACGTAACCCTAAAGCTTGACATAGGGATTTTTTTTTTCGACATTTAAATAAAAAAGATCGGAAAATTGAAAAAAATTATGCAAATACGAGGGTTGTCCGTAAAGTTCGTGGACAACATTGATATTTACTGACAAACATTGACAAAATATATGAAACTATTATTTTCATTAAATTGATGTTTCAGTTTATTAATATGCAAGTTTTAATTACAAACAAAGCACAAATAGTTATATTTTATCAGATACAAAAAAGATACACACTCATACCCGGAGCAGTAAAACGAAAATCCTTGACGTTACTCGACGTCGAATGCTAAATACATTTAAGTTTTCTCAACGCAGTTACCGTTTCACCCAACACATTTCTTATGTCGTTTCAACCAGTCATCAAAAATGTGCACAAACTGCTCTGGTTTCATACATGAAATAATATTTAACACTTCCTGTCTCAGATCCTGCAAATCATCAAACCTCTGTCCGCGTAAAACGACTGTATGTACGGAAATACGGCAAAGTCACGTTACGAACTTCATTTTTTACAGCACTACAATCTCGAAACGATGGTCTTCCTTCACGCATGTCATCCAGTAAACAGTCTCTTTCATCCGAAAATCTTCTGTGCCACTTAAACACTAAAGAATAGATTACTTTGCCATGATTTCCCGACTGTTTAAGGAATTTATGGGTCTCTGTTGGTGTTTTTCCGATGTCTACACACAATTTTATCACTACTCTCTGCTCCACCTTTTCCGAAAACGTCCCTTTTTCGAACAATGACGAAACTATCTTAATAAACTCTGACCTCGATTTCTCTGCCATTTCGAAACTTTGAACGTTCAAATTTTACAGGTTTGACGTTATTACTTTTGTCATCCTTATAATGTAAAAGCCATCCAACTTTCCGCGGAATTTTACAAAATACAAATGAAATGTATAAAGTGATTAATAACTTTTTAATGAAAACTTTGTTGTGCTCCGGGTCACCATCCCAAGTTTAATAATGAAGTCAAAATTGTAATTATACACTTAAAATTGAATAAAATTTTTCATTTTGTAATTCACATATAGTAAAGGATTATAAATATGCTAATAATAAATATATATGACGCAACTTTTATTTAAACTTTAGCTTGTCCACGAACTTTACGGACAACCCTCGTAGTTTTGGAAAGGTGTTTTAATTAGCTTGTACCGACTTCCACTCAGGTGAACATAACAATCTTGAGTGAGGGGTGGGCATTTGTTATGCATTGCGCCTATCCCCCTTTCCATACTTTTTTCTAACTGTATTGTTTTTTTACTTTTAATTTGATATAAAAACATTTAAGTCTTGAAAGCCTGATCCCTCGCTTAAAGTCCTCAACATGCCCCCAATAAAATTTGGAGTTGGAAGTTTTTTCCTATTTAGAGGGAGGGGCTTCTCAACAGAAAAAAAACCCATAAGATGATTGATCAGGTGTGCTGTAGATGTGTAAAATGGTTTCAGATTTTCCAACTATTTGTTGAAAATAGCTCTTTTGTATATAAACCTGGTTTTGAGAACTCCTCTTTCATTTTACCTATACATAAACGATACACGAAACTCTCTATCTAGTTAGAGTTTACTTGTACACTTAATAAAATCAGACCCAAACTGTATTACGAAATGCATATTGAAAAAATTTACGACATATGACCAAAAAATCAGAAACAAAAACATTAGATAGATTAGAAAGAGCAGTACAGTTATGTATTGTTTGAGTAGTGACATTGACATTAGCCTGATTTTAGATGAACATAGTCCTTCACGAACTATACTCGGCGCTCAGCGCTATTTTGCAATTAGGGATCTTTTTCGTGCCTTCTGTGACAGGACTTCGATTTATACGGTCCTATCCGAAGGACATATATCCACGTCCCTCAGTGGGATTCAGATTCGAACCCGCAACGTAAGGATCAACTATTTACTCTATTACCCAATCCTTACAAAACTTTTCTATAGATAACTTAAGTTTTCTATAGAGGTTATAGACCTCGAATAAAAAATATACATTACAAATGGAAAATTATACAATACAAATTGAATACTTTAAGAATACAAATGAAACAATCTAAATTATAAATATTAAGGATCGAATATTGCAACATTTGACATTTATAAATGGAAAGAATGCAATATTGCAACGCTTGACATTCTGGAATATAAATGGGAAGGATAGAATAGAAATAGAAATGGATGGAGTGTATAAGTCTTTGAGTTGATGCAAAAAATTGAATGTGTCAAATCTAATGCGTGCATTTGAGCTTGTAATTTATTTAGAGTTTATATCAAAAAAACCCCTTAAAGAGAGAAACATGGTAACATACCTTTCTGTGGTAGAACTACAGCTGATCGTGGTTGCCGAAGGATTTTCGACGTAGTGTCCACCATTGCATGAAGTAGTCAAATATCTTTTTGATAGAAAAATGTAATTTCAAATCACATGATCACTCGACGTTAGCTTGAACTTCTTCTAATGATGTTAAGTGTCTACTTCATGACAATGGATACGTAAGAAACTCTCAAGTAGCTTTACAAGTATTCATCCTGTCACTTCTGTTTAAATATCACTTCG